GAAATTCGAATAATTCACTTCTATCTGAAGTATGTGCTGCTGATGATGTTGTTTAGAAGAACAATGAAAGCTCCACAACCAAAACATCCAGATTAGAGAACCGAACACCACCACCACCACAATCATCCATCTGAGCTACAAATCTTCTCCACCATCTCAAAACTTCTCTAAACCTCTTGTCTTTGTGTATTTCTCACTTTTCTGTCTAACATTATTCATGCAGTCAGTATACAGTTTTATTTTTACAAATGATTCTTCGAATTTCTCTACATTTCATGGTTTACCTCGTAAAATGTTCTTAGTTATATAACCATTAAAAACCGGAGATCGTTGGACAGATGTTTCCTTATCTTGACATACGACTTCTTAGTAGTACTCATCCTTTAATCAACCGAGGACCTTCAGATTTTACTTTGAGTGTTTAAAGTTTAGACCACTAAATTGAAATCCAAAGGTGTCGACTGAGGTTAAACATTAACACGCACAAGACTGAAGGTCTTGGATTCGATTCCCGCGTACAATGGTCGTAGATGTGCATTGTTGATGAGTCCGATGGTGGCCTAACACTGACCAATTCATGATTTCAATGAAATTAAACAATCTCCACAATTCTATACTGACATATACACATAAATTCATTGGTATTGATGATCAGATTGTATGTAAACAAGTGAAGAGAATGAACTCAGATCAATAAATTCCTATCACAATTCGTGTCACAAAATAAACTACCTTCTTACTTTTTTTATTCAAATATTAAAAATGCACTATTTTTTGTGTATTTTTTTTTCTTCTTCTGCTTGACATTCCATGTTGAACAATTTGAAAATTATTCACATAAACAATTCACTCACTCTTGATGCTTTTTGTTTAGTAAAACAAATCGATTTGTCTGAATATTATTTACAGAATGAAGATTCAAACCTTTTTTTTGCATATTTTCATTATAATCTAATTTCTTGTTATCATTTCATGTTATCAACATAGTTTTTTAGCAATTTTCATATGACGATTTCTTAGGTCAGACAGAGGAGGGTTAGACAACTTGAAATTTTATCATTTGTGAGTGTGTGTGCGTGTGTATGTGCGTCCGTTAGTGTATGGGGTATCGAAATTGTTACTTTTTGCATTAAAAGTATTATGTTGATCACTGTTCTTATACACTAAAATCATGAATGAATTAGAAGAAAGCTATGGGCGGCCAGACAAAAACATGGCACAAATCCATCAAGTCACTGAAGACAAGTGGACTGAGTCATGTTGGTGGTAGATGTAGACTACCTGGTTGGGGTCTGCGAGACGATAGTCCCCAATGGTTCGAGACCTTGAACGACATGGCTCAAAATCGTTTGCGATGGCGCAAGTGCATCCATTCATTGAGCTCTCACAAACGCTAATCTTCTAAATTCGTCAGCACCTCTACCTTCATCTTTCTAACCTCATCTCACTGAATTATACTTCAATAATATTTTCAAACCCTAGTCTTCTTTATTACCATTAATACCTCTACTATCTTTATCACTATGGGATTTGATTTGACATTTGCGTCTGTGTGCTAATGTGGTATGGCAACGTAAACTGATGTACATACGTACGAAGTTCTACGTTGCAGCTGACTGACTGAATGAATGAATGAATGAATGAATTATTGTTAGACCACCATTTAATAGAAACCTGGAAGCACTGGAAGATAGCCGTTTCTTCCTGGTATGGAACTACACATCAGTGGCAGTGCGTATCCAAAACTCCTGCTACTCGCAGGCTTCGAACGAAAGACCTTCGGTCTTGCTCGCGAATGCTTAACCTTTCAACAACTAAATTGGCATCTAACGGTGTTAATCTCCAACTCTGCTCAATCTCAAGACTTTGCACAACCTCACCCATTTCTCTTCGGTAGTTACTGCCTCTATACCCGACAGGGTTAAACTAAACTGATCACGTCTTCTCATTAGAACTTCGAGAATTTCCACATCAAGCTAGTCACTAGTGAGCACATTTTACGAGTTTCTTATTAAAGAATTATGAAGATCGTTGTTGTAACACATTGAAATCATGAATAAATCATTGTCATGTTTGTGAACTATGAGAGAAAACGTTTGTTTTCAGTAAACACAATATATTCCAATTGAGATGTAGAAAGCAAGAAAGAATGATTTAACGAAGAGTTGGTTGCCTTTTTAATGATGAATTTATTTGTTTTGTTTGATGAAATGTTTATTCGTTGTATTTTTATAAAAAGTATGTAAATTTTTAGACCTTACATAATTGGTGTATACGCATTGTGTTCGGATTTTCCCTATAGTAACCATTAATATAGAAGAAATAAGAATGTAATTAGCAGTCGGATCCACGACTCATGTTTTCACAGATCAAATTTTAGTTAGGAATATCAACAATGAGATAATTCTAACAATTATCTGGAATTAGTAGATAAATAAGTAGTGAGATGGTGTTCGGAACTAACAGTACTAGGTTCAAGTTCGTCGGTAGACATCACTTATGGGATGCAGGTGACTACACCCAGCTGACAAGTGAGAAATAGAATGAATGGCGTATCCCTAGATTACATTGCTAGCCATACTTCATCGATTCTATACTCATTAGTAAGTGGAGGACAAAACAAAACGTGTCACTAACCCATGAAGTCAATGATAACTGAACTGAGCCATGTTGGTAGGTGTGGACCACCTCGTTGGGGTCCGCAAGACAATCGTGATTGGTATTAAGAGATTTTGAGTTACATGGCTCAAAATCGTTTGCAATGGTGCAGATGCATTCATTGTTTGGCTTCTGTCAAATTTTAACCTTCTGAATTCCTCATGACCTTTCTTCTCTTTTTAGATTTACCTCACTGGAATATACTTCTAGAGTGAGATCTTTGAACGTCAGTCTTTTGCATTACCGCTAATACTTCCCTCCACAACCTTTACTACTGTGGGATTTGAATTAATGACCCCATCTCTTTGTGCTAATGCGGAATGGCAACTTGAGTTGATAAACGTACGTACCAAATTCTACGTTATAGCTAACTGACTGAGGGTTAGTTTCTTTATGTGAGTTCCAGAGTGTTTAACAAGTTAAACAAAGAAATAAATATCAGCAGGAATGGATAGTAGCAGTGGAATCCGGAATGCGAGTTTCTTCCTATTTGGAATGCATCAGTTGGATGAACCTGCTTCTCAGAGTAAATGTTTATTCCGGAACCTGAACGCAATGCCATTCACTTGAAAAGCCTTTGTTCTATTCACTAAGCTACTGAGTCTATATAGCAACTTATATGTGTCCTTTCCTTTAGGCACAAAGTAAACGGTACTGTGTTTGAATCTCACAGTGAATATCAACTTTGTAATGCAAGTACATCCAGCTGATAAGTCCTAAATAGAATGAAACGAGCATTTTGTATTCCATTGTTACTTACCATCTATCTCTACTGATAATTACTTCCTTACACCTGTTACCCTTAATGGAGTACAGACAAACCCACCAACATTCTCTACTTATAATCTACTTCTAATCTAATGACAGTGTTCAGGTAATCCGAAATATTAACACACATATATATGAAATGAGACTAACTAATTGAAGTTCTAAACATCAATGAAATGATTTAAACAATCAATATCAATCAAACAAATAAATATTTTCAATGTCCAATCAATGTGTAATTGTTAGGATATTCATCCAATATTCTAAGAGAACTATAAGTCGAATCCTATTGGCTAATTTCTCCTGGTCAATTTTAAGATCTTTTTTGAAACCATGAATCGATCAATGTTAGACCACCATTACAAACCTGGAAGCACTGGACGGCCGTTTCGGCCTGGTATGGGACTCATCAGCAGAGCGAATCCACGACTCCTGCATCTCGCATGATTCGAACCCAGGACCTTCAGTATTGTTCGCGGACGCCTAACCGTCGGACCACTGGGCCGGCATCTAACTTGATCAATTCACGGAGTTGCGCAACCTCATACACAGTCTTCGGTACTTACTTTCTATACCCGAACAGGTTGAACTTCACTGGTCACGTCTTCCCACTAGAACTCGGAGAAGATTCTTCACGAAGCAAAAGTAATTTGCATTACGGGGTTGTGAAGATTGTTAAGTTGTTAAATTCCAGGTTTCTAATGGTGGTCTAACATTGATCGATTCATGGTTTCAAAAATGTGTAACTTAACAATCTTCACAACCCCGTAATCCAATTTTATGACCGCCTTAGATATCAATGTCACGTACTTCAATGTTGTTCTTATTGGTCATCCTGAATTTCAGTGTCACTTCAACTGTTATATCTTATTGGTCGTCTTAACTGCCAATGTCACAGACTTTGATGATGTTTCCTATTCAACCTAAATGTATAAATACGCATTATCTGTAATATTTTATGAACTGGACCCGGATCCCTAGTCCTGGATCCTGATTCTCTTCTGGATTCGGACCTCGTACTTTCTGGATGCTTGTAGAATACAGGTTCTACTCCACATTCAAGTCTTCTTATTCTTTTACTCAATATGGGGGTTGTGACATTCGGATTTGAACAGTATGTCGTGTCGCCGCGGATCCTCGATCCTCACTCTCATTTTCCGACTAATTTAAACTCGTAATAGTGAGAAGACTGAGGCATGTGCGATAGGTTGTATTTAGTAAATTTACACTCTTAGTCAATTAAAAACGAAAACATTACATAAAACACTCTATTTGCACACCATCTTTGAGTCCTGACTTCCAACGCTCCAGCCTTCTTACATTCCTGCTGTTGCCTCCTTTACTTCCTGTCGGTACTCCATTTCCTTCTTGCTTTTGCTCCATTTGCTTACCGTTTTCCTCAAGTGACCGTGAGAGTTCTTCTTTCACGTCCCTTCTTATACTACTTATATCGTTCGTATAAGTAGCACACACCACAATAGTTCAAGCAAATATCAAGTTGACATGTTTACGTACAGGCGTAACAGTAATTTACCATTTAACTATCTTTATCTACATTGTTTTCTTATTTTTAGATTCAAAAATACTGAGTGACAGAGACACACATATATATACATAACATACATATTTATGCATCATTCTATGATAACCATCATAATACTAAGATTATTCTATTATTATTCGATATGGATATTAACAAAATTATCACATTCAATGAATGCTGATCAATTCGGTGAATCGGATGCAGATCATATTGAATTAACACAACTAATTTATAATCATGAACAAATACGTCTACGATGTGATGCAAAAAGTTATCGAGCTGTGGAAAGTTTGATTCTGTTGAGTTGTCCACTTAGTAAAACTGGTGTATGCAGAGAAAATTGTATTAATCCATGTACAGCAAATGAAAGTAAGGCGGTGTGATATGAATTTATTGATCTATACTGGAGATCTTCTTTTTACACATAAATAATAATAGTATATTGATTTGATTAAAGTTAGACAACTCCACCTAGAGACCTTCTAGTGTGTAACTGTCGGTCCTAAGTCCGGATAAAGGAGGACGGTTGGGCATGGCGTTAGTGACCTGACCCCGTAGAAATGCAACTCGCACAAAAAGAAACGCCTATGCTCCATCAGGGGGTAACAGACATGAGTAAGCAGGTTTAGTATAGTTAGACATTAACACCGTTGGATGCCGTCTCAGTGGTCAACAGTGGGAGTGTTGGTGAGCAAGACCATTCTCTCTCATTCTCTTGTCTGTGAACTAGACTCAACGCTCTGTGTGATCTTCTGAAACTTATGCACAACTGGAAGTTATAATAGTTATCAGGATGAGTTATATAGGAGGTTTGGAAATTGCCCTGGATAATACATATCTGTAGATATGCAGCACCTCATATATATTTTTTTACATTCATTTGGTCGTATAAGCAATGCTGTCGTTAGGAAACGAGTTCTACGTAAGGATGGCAAATCAGTAGATGAAGCAGTGAAACTTCATCAGTTGAGGTGGTTGGGACATGTGTTACGCATGGCTAACCACCGACTGCCGTGACGAGCTGTGTTTTGAAGTGTAGGAGTAGATTGGAAGAAAGCTAGGGGCGGCCAAACCAAAACATGGCACAAATCCATGAAGTCACTGAAGACAAGTGGACTGAGTCATGTTAGTAGATGTAGGCTATCTGGTTGGGGTCCGCGAGACGATAGTCACCGATGGTTGGAGACCTTGAATGACATGGCTCAGAATCGTTTGCAATGGCGCAGGTGCATCCTCTCTTTGTGTTCTATGAAATTCTAAGCTTCTGCATTCCTCATAAACTCTACCTTTCTCCTTCTATATTTATCTCATTGAATTATACTTCTCGAATCCTATCTTCGCTCCCTAATCTTCTCCATTACTGCTAATAGTTCTATTATTGTTATCACTCTTGGATTTGAACTGACAGTTACATCTCTGTGCTGACGTGGTATGGCAACCTGAACTGATGTACTTACGTACGAAGTTCTGCGTTGTATCTGTCTGTCTGTCATTCATTTGGTAATAAATCCAACAATTGTATCAATCATATATATATTGTTGAATAGTAAAGAAATTGTGGCAATGACTTGCGTTCTGTAGTGATGGTCGTTACAACGGTAGTATGCGAAGTTTAGGAATATATGGAATGTCCACCATCACATAATTTGTCAGGCCGAGTAAAAAACACAACGCAGTTGTTTAAAATTTTCTTTTTATACCTAATAATATATTGGAATGATTAAAGTTAGAAATGAACACCGTTGGATACCGGTTTAGTGATCTAGAGGTTATGGGTTAAGTATGCTAGACCTGTGTTCGATTCCGGTGAGTGGGGGTCATGGATGTGACTGCTGATGAGTCCTGTCCTGGAACAAAACGGTCATCCAGTATATCTAGGTTTCGGATTTTGGTCTAACAACGGTCGATTCATTATTATTATTTTATTGATAAAATACTCTTGTGTATTATCTAAAGAACAGTTGTTTCATGTGTCTGATTATCTGTAAAGAAAGGAGATTTAAATGACAATAAGAAAAAATTATTATAACGTACAGCTGATAGTTGTGTTTCATGTTAATAATAACAATTTATCGACAATCAAACAAGAACGAACATAGAACTTTTTACGTTCAAACAAAAATTCATAGAACGTATAAAACAGGGAATACCAGTTACAAGAGTGGAAATTGAAATAATAAATACAACAGGCGTTATATTGAGCACTTAGAAATTACTAGTGATAAACTGTTTACTGAATATAAATAAGTAGTTTAAATCAATACGCAAAAAAACGAGAAAAGAAAAAATCACGAACAAAAATGAATTTTACAAAAACATTGTCAGCAAATCTGAGTCACTCAGAGTCTCTAACTTTTGATCATGGTTATCACGAGGTTTACATTCTGGTTGGCCATATCCACAAGCACTTCTGAGTTTAGTAGTTATTGATTTTATGGGTTGGTACCTATCTTTGTTTGACTGTTTAACTTTCTTTTAACCTACGCCTAACTCAGCCGACATGGGTTTGGGATTTAAGTGGTAGTTAGACATGACCAACACAAATACGAGAAACTTTATTCCATAAAGTTTATTCTACATCTTTAGCGCCAATCTTCGAAAAGGTGAAATTATTAAGTTAATGTGACATGGTTTGGATTTTCCCGCTGAGGATATTTTGACTGAAATTTCATCAGTCCTGGTTAGCATATGAGCGTCCTTTAAAGATTGCCTCAATTTAGTCACCATAACACAAGTTTATATAAACTAGATTAGGTCTCATACCTGTTACACCAGGGAGTTGCTATCTAGACTCGGAAGCTAAGTAGATAATGGGATGTAGTTTGAAGCAAACGGTACTAAGTCCAAGTGACTTAGTGAATATCAACTCCAAGATGAAAATAAATCCAACTGATGAGTGCAGAATAGAACGAAATGAGCATTCCGGATTTTTACTGCTAGCCACATTCTATCTATATTCTACATGAAATCATTAAGTTTATTTCTAGGCCTGAATACCCAATGACAAATCTAACACTATGTTCAGTCATTCATTATTCTTTAGCTGCTTAATAATTCCCATTATCCCTATAACTTTAGAAAGTCGATTTCATTCAGACTAAGAATTCTAAGTTAGTAAGTGACTAGAAATCAAAACTAGTTACCCAATTTAATAAACGTTATTAAACATCTTACAATCATCTGTAAAGAATTTTTTCAACTTAACGAAGCATTTGATTGCTTTTCATTAAAAAAAATTTCCTTAGGTCCTGTTGAACTACATAAGATTTGTATAGAAAAGACTCGAAAAACATAACAGCGCTCACTAATCAATAATCAGTCAATTTTATGAATAAGTTAATCTAACAAATTAATCACGGACTAAATAAAATTCACTGGTAATTTCTTCAACAGTAGTTGAAATCCCCCTTGGAACATCGTTTCCTCGAAAATTTCATATACATCTTGATAAAAAGTGACAACCTGAACGATGTTTAAGGTTTCTGTTCAATCACCTAATATCTAGCTATATTCAGGTCATCTATGGCTAAAATAACCCCATAGTATAATCTCTCAAATTGATTCTTAGTGATCAGCGTTGAAAAAGCAATAGCCTTATGATTTGTTGATACATGTCAGTATGCACAAAATGTAAGTTCAGAATTTTCTATTAATTGTTCTGTGAAACATAGCCAATGAGAGTAGAAGATATTCGTAGGTTACTGATTTTCGATCATAGGTGTCTTCGAAGCATTGCTCGTATATCGTGGGACAACCGAGTGAGTAACGCTGTTATTAGGAAACGGGTGCTAGGTAAGGTTGGTAGACCAATAGATGAAGTAATGAAACTTCATCATTTGAGGTGGTTGGGACATGTGTTGCGTATGCCTAACCACCGACTGCCTCGAAGAGCTTTGTTTTGTAGTGTAGGAGTAGGTTGGAAGAAAGTTAGGGGCGGCCAAACCAAAACATGGCATAAATCCATGAAGTCATTGACGAATGGACTTAGCAATGTCGGTAATTGTTGACTACCTGGTTAGGGTCCTCGAGATGGGCATAATCGATGGTTAGAGACCTTGAATGACATGGCTCAATATCGCTTGCAATGGCGCCAGTGCATTTATTCTTTGTGTTCTCTCAAATCCTAATCTTCCGGATTCTTCAACTTTGTAAACTTTTCCCACTGAATCATAATTCTTAAATAATATCTTCTAATCCTAACTTCTCCGATTACTTCTAATACCTTTACTACCTCTACTACTATTGGATTTGAATTGACAATTACATCTCTGTGTGCTGATGTGGTATGGTAACATGAACTGATGTACTTACGTACGAAGTTCTACGTTGCATCTGACTGACTGACTGACTGACTGAATCATACTATCAATTTACATATTTTTAACATGTTCTCCTCAATAACATTCAACTTTTCCATATTTATCTTTTCCTCATTCTCTTCATTACACAATCATGGGATTAAAAAGCATCAACAATGTGTAATGAAGCAGTAACATTGGCTATACCAAAATGTATTTATCGTTCAATGGCTAATGATCATATACAAATTGAATATTTAATACATTTAAATGCTATCAATGTTAAAGGTCATTGGTGGTGTACATTTCGTGGTAAACGTTCTAATTTCATTGAATTAGATGCATATAGTACTGCTCATCAAAAATCAACTACACTAATTAGCAAACAGCAACATAATTTAACAAACACAAAAACTCTCAATGAATATGAAACAGTAATTGATATTACAACTCAAATTGGTAAGTTTTATTTTTAGTTCATACGGATGATTATGATGAAGTTTTATATTGTTTGAGAGTGTTGGGGATGTTAGATCCCCAAAATTCACTTGATAAATGCCTTATTATTTTGGTTTTCACGTTTTGCCAGCATGGGCTGATCAGTTGGTGACCTTGAGATTTCCTATTTCCCACTAGGAAAATCCATGGCTGTGTGATTGGCTGATGTGTATTTTAGTGTGCTATTTATTGGAACCGTCTCAAGGACGTTTCTATGTTGTATAAATAAACGAGAGTTGTATGCTTGATTGTGTTGTGTGATTGCTGGGTGTTTGTAGAATATACTTTCTACGCTTACAAAGCCTTCTTACTCTATTTGGGGATTCAAGGTAGCCTACCTGGACGCTGGTAAAAGTCTCGTTCGCGTTTATCGACTAAGGTAAACTCGTAATAGCCTCAAGCATACTTAGTGACGAGCGTAACAGAGAGTATAAGGAAAAATATTCAGCTCAAAAAAATGTTACTCCATTACAAGTATTGTTAATGAATATTGAAATTTTATTTGAATATCAGAGTAGAAATTTCTCAGGAAAACAAATAAAGATTAGTTATTTGGTCAAGGTCATGGTTATTGAGTCCACCAATTACAAGTTAGCTTTACGTCTGTCTCAACAACCTACCGTGGGAGAGAACGAACTAGACTCCAGTGGAGGAAGCGCTGAAAGTGGATAAGACACCTATTGAGGAGAGCACCCAAATGCGTCACTAGATAAGCCTTCAAAGTCAAAGGAAAATAGGATTGCCATCGAATACATTACGCCGAGAAATGGAGATAGACATGAGAAGAATGAACAAAAACTGGGCAGAACTGGAAAAAGTGGCCCAGGATAGATTAGTTTGGAGAATACTGGTCGGTGGCCTATGCCTCGTTGGGGGTAACAGTCGTAAGTATGTAAGTTTACGTCTGTCGGATCAGTGACCTTCAGTTCCATTCATAACATATCCGACTGATGAAAAAAGAACGACGAATTGCTTATTCCTATTGTTACTGCAAACGGAGCATAGGCAGTCGAATAATATTCTCCAGCCTACTCTATCCTGGGCCATCCTTTCCATTTCTGCTCAACTGCTGTTCATTCTCTTGATGTCTACTTCCAATTATCAGTGGAACTGTTTCATTGGTCTATCAAATTTTCCTTTGGCTTGAAGGACTCCAAATGAGGGTTTGTCTTGCGACGCAGTTAAATGATTTCCTCAATGTGTGTCCAATCATATTCTTCAGTTACTCACCCATATCTAACAGAAGTTACATGTTATGAATTGAATTGGATTTCATTCCTACCAATGGTATTCTATGACAAACTGAACAAGAATGGAAATAACATAAATCTTATTAAAGTTTCATTGAAAAAGTTGACAATAAAATAGAACACTACACTATAGTACCTGATAACTCTAGATTCAGCTGTAATTTACTTATTACTTACGCCTGTTATCCTCAATGGAGCATAGGCCACCGACCATAATTCTCCAACAAACTCTGTCCTGGGCTTCACATTGCAGTTATGTTCAAGTTTTATTCATTCTAATCATGTCCGTTTCTCGGGGTAATGTGTTCCTTGGCCTTCCTCTTTTCGTTTGACCTTGAGGCTTCCAGGTGAGGGTTTACCTTATGATGTATTTAGGTGCTTCCTTAAACGTGTGTCCTATTCACTTCCACCGCTTCTTCCTGATTTTCTCCTCCACTGAAATCTGGTTTGTTCTTCCCTATAGTAGGTTGTTGGTGATAGTTTCTGGCCAACGGATTTGAAGTATTTTGCGTAGACAACTGTCGATAAACACTTGCATCTTCTGGATGATAGCCGTCGTGGTTCTCCAAGTTTCCACCTCATTCAGTAGAACTGTCTTGATAATTGTATTGAAAATTCTTATTTTCGTGTTTGTTGACACTTGTTTTGAGTTCTGGATATTGTTTAGTTGTAGAAACGCAGCCCTTGCTTTATCAATCCGTGCCTTCACATCTGCATCTGATCCATCTTGCTCGTCAATGATACTGCCTAAATATGTAAAGCTTTTTACGTCCTCCATGTAAAATCCATTTTTGAAGGTTTTGTTTGTGTGAATCCCTCCATGTATACATTTGTAATTTGTTCTTATTCATACCTTCAGTTGTACAGGTTGTTAATCTGTTCGATTCCATTTCGGAGATGATAATATTTTTAGTTTATTATAGTTTCTATTTCTTTTGCCTTTATTGAGTTTCTATATTTCTTTCTGTTTAAGCTGATACTTAGTCATGGTGACAGCCATATTAATTTGTCCTTCTTTTGATTGGATTGCTTGCTACTAACTGGAATCGTGCCTTTTGATTGTGAATTGAAGCACTCTTCCAGAATAGGAAACACTATGTGTTACAAAGAAACTAAATATTATCTGTCGAATGAATCAGATCTATCCAGAACGGATAGAATAACACCTATTTGTACTGTGGATTTGATTAAGTGAACAATTGTTGGTGGAATAACTAAGTGGTAATATTGTTGAATTTCATTTAAGTCATGAATCGATCACTGTCAGACCATCACCTGAAAACCGTTTCAGATGTGCGGCAGTTATCCACTGGACACATTGGATAATGGTTGTGAGGTATCATGGATTGGTCCAAGTTATACATTAACTCTGTTCGACGCAGACTCACTAGTTCTTCGCCCGCGAGATCGGAAGTTTTAGGTTTGACCCCCATATGTGAGGTTGTGAATGCTTATATCTGAGGAGTCGTATACTAAGCTGAAACAACCATCCATTGATACCAAGTTTTTAACACTGATCTAACATTCATTGTTTCATGATTTTAATGCGGATTACTTGAAGATTTATACATACTTTTGTTTACTTTTCTCTTCCTCTAGATATTTCACCTAATCTAACACAATTAATTATTGGACTTGTAGGTGTTTCAATCGCCTTCAATATATTCTTTTTGATACGATGTTTTACTGTGAAAACGTATTTAAGTAAGTTATTGTGTATGTTATTACTGTCTTTCCAAATTACTTCTATATTATCTAGATAGGCGATGGTAAGACATATATAATACATTTCCCAACCATCTATGTAGGATTTAATTTGTCCTACAGATGTAATTCTAGAACTGTAAACGCAATATTGGCGAGCACAGAGTCTATGGGAAAGCTATAGTCAGAAAACAAGATCAACTTTTGTTTTAAACTTTATCTGTTTCTAAACATAAAAACAATTACATTAGTACAATAAATAAGGAAATTACAATTATCAGTAAGTAAGACGAGTAAACATACCGACCAATATTGCGTGCCTGTCTTATGGAAATGATGAGTACAGTTATGGGTCACATCAATAATAATAAGATAATAATGTCCTTCAATTTGTAGGTCATTTACAACAAAGAAGGTTTACAGACACGTCAGATCAGATCACGTGGTGGGCGCTTAAACCACAATTTGATTGGTTAGTTATGACATAACAACAGTTCGTTATGGAAATAACTAACAATCTCTTACAATGAATATTCATAGTCTCATCAACTCTATTCTATCATTGTCTAGTACTCAACGCCAAATCTCAATCAGTTGTTCCACGATACATTGGGAATGTTTTGAAGTCACCTACGATCAAATAGTTATGGTCTGAAGTATGTTTTTGAGTCAGATAGAAACACAGAGCCAACTGTTGTTAAGCAGTTTATGAAGATTGTTTTGATTGTAATAGACTTGTTAACAAGTATTGACATCGATTCGTGTACCGTCTAAAACCATTTATCACTTAATCTCCATGGTTTCCTATTTTGAAACTCATTTGGCAACATGTAACTATTGTATTAGATCGATATCTGACTCTGATTTGAACAGACAATCACAATTACTGTGAAAATAAAATATTACAGTAACATCGTTTGAGCGACAGTGGTAATAGGCAACCGAATACGTATCAAGTAGAATGAATTGATTAATGAGAAGCGGAGATAGGTATTGGGCTAACTCCTCTATATATAACTCATTACCAGTAGTATCATATAACTGCAAGTAGACAATGCAAAGTGTGATAAAGAGATAGGCGTTAGATTCAATAGTGAGTGACAGACATACAAACAAGAGATAAACTTACAGAATTACAAGGACGTGAGTATAAGACGTATTAATGCTGCATGTCACAATCTCCTATGAAAAGAATCGAATAAGATAGTCAAAACGACACAATCATTCAATCAGTCAGCAGCAACGTAGAACTTCGTACGTACGTACATCAGTTCATGTTGCTATACCACATTAGCACAGAGATGCAATTGTCAATTCAAATCCCATAGTAGTAGATGTAGTAGAAGTATTAGAAGTAATCGGAGGGATTGGGGTTCGAAGATATTATTCAAGAAATAGAATCTAGTGAAATAAACTCAAAAGGAACACGATAAAGGTAATGATAAACTATGAAGGTTAGGACTTGAGAGAAACACAAAGAATGAATGCGCCTGCGCGATTGCATACGTTTTTGAGCCATGTCATTCAAGGCATCTAATGACGCAATAGTTACATGCTGTCTGAGTTATCAGTCTTTCCAAAAGCTAGGATAAATAATATGAGTACATCGTGATACTAAACACTGTACACAATTACGGGTCCAGGGAGTGAACTAAGGATTCTCATGGTTCGTTGTAAGCGAATCAGTTTGACAACTAGTGAACTAGCATTCCTTAATTTATATTCCAACTTGATTTAGTTCAGCTTACAGAACTCCAACTCAACGCCAGGAATCCACTTTTTGAATACTGTGACCTACCTAGCTAACTTGATCAAATATTGAGCTAACAGTTTTTTCAATCGTCTCACAAACGGACTAAAAGTATTTCCGAGGAGCCCTTGAAATGGTAAAGAAAATTGGTAGCTCAGGTGGATGGATGACTGTGGTGATTTTTCGTTCTCTAAGCTGTATCTGTTGGTTGTGAAGATTTCATTGTACTTTGTCTGAACAACATCATCAACAGTACAAACTTCAGATAGCAGAAGTGAACTATTCGGATTTCTCCACGTTTGACCTGTAGCTTATTCTATTAACCTCGATCTTGATTGGTTGTTATTGATCTTAAACCTGTCGTTGTTCGCACCTTCTCTGTTTGACATCTCACACACATACACATATCAATAACATTCTACTGTTTGTAATAAGTTTGAATTTCACGAAGAAACATTGTAGTGAAGGAGAACATAGGTGGGGCAACCGAATCGATTTAACGAAAATTACAGAGTTACTCAGTAAAATCGGAACACCATATCGTAAATCGTTAATTTGCAAAATATCAGTTCATCATATTATCGAACTGGACTGTTCCTGTTGCAAAACATCAATCCATTGTCACCTCTATTCATGCGTTTCATACAAATTCCATTGTTTTCTAACTCTTCCTTTCTTGATCTTCCCCCATCTTCTGCTGCCAGACATTACGTTGACACTCACATCATATACTACTTATAAGTAGCTCACACAACAACATTAGTTCCTCAGACTTGAATCACATTTACTTATACTAAACAAAGTTTTAAACAAACTACAATATTGTTTATTGATCATTCAAAAAATCAATGTTCAATTTGTTCTTTTTCACTTTCTCCCTATCTCTCTCTCTCCATCTCTGAAGAAAATCTTCACAATGGTCATTCAAGAAATAAATGTCTTGATCAATTACTCTGCATAGATCAACCAAGAAAATTTACATCAAATAAAAGGATAAATTATAATCCTTTGGAAACATCGAAAATGTCAATATCAACAAATGAACAATGGTGTAAACCAATAATGAATCATCATAATAGTAGCACACCGTTTATTGAACATAGAACAATAAAATCGATTCCATCTTCACCAACCATGATGATGAGTCATCAGCCGAATTTCAATCAATATCCATTGCCATTACAACAATCCGTTAATCATTCAAAATATTCTAGAAATAATCAAAATTCTTCAATGGAATTCATTTATGATGAAGTGCATAATTCTATTTATACTACTTTAACTAATCAAATCAATGAGAATGATGAGAAGAAACGTGAAACTATGGTAATGAAGAGAAATTGTTTTATTTTAAATGCTGAATCGATCAATGTTAGACAAGTGTTAGAAAGCTGGAAGCACTGAAAGACAGTTGTTTTGTCCTGGTATGGAACTTGTCAGTGACAGTGAACATCCTACTACTTTCAGGATTCGAACTCGAGACCTTCAGTCTTGTGCGTGAACGCTTAACATCTGGACCATTGAGCCGATGAAATAGATGTTCAGTGCTGTCAGGTTTCTAATGATGGTCTAACATTGATTGATTCATAATTTCAAATGGATTCAACAATTTTGTTATGCTCTTCAAGTGATATGCTTGAAGTATGATGAGTTTAACTTAGTCGGTAAAGACAAATGATCCAGTGACACGATAGACTACTCTAATCCGAGTGTCCCGAGCCTTGCTTACGGTATCAAAAAGTCTTGATGTGGCGTAGAAAGTGTATTCTACAAGCATCTAGAAAATATGAGGTTTTGTACAGAAGAAGAGGAGCTTATATATACAGTTAGGTCAACCGTGAATACTAATCAATAGGAAACAACATTTAAGGTATGTGAACTTGATAGTTTAGAACGACCTTAAATATTGACCAATAGGGATTGGCCAATAGAACTGGAACTTACAAATCTCCTCAACCCTAACACAAAAAATATTTTTTATCCACTACATTATAACACGTAGATTCAATGTGTGACTGAGTTTATACTACCATTGAATTGGATAATTGAACAGCACACTACATATAGATTAGATAACGTTGAATCATGACCGAAGTGCATCCAGAGTCAGTCAGTCAGTCAGATGCAACGTAGAACTTCGTACGTAAGTACATCAGTTCATGTTGCCACACCACATCAGCACAGAGATGTAATTGTCAATTCAAATCCAATAGTAGAAGAGGTAGTAAAGGTATTAGAAGTAATCGGAGAGGTTAGGATTAGAAGATATTATTCATGAAGTATGATTCAGTGGGAAAAGTTTAGAAAGTTGAAGATTTGAGAGAACACAAAGAATAAATGCACTGGCGCCATTGCGAACGATTTTGAGCCATGTCACTCAAGGTCTCTAACCATCGATTATTATTATCTCGCAGACCCAGACCAGGTAGTCGACAATTACCGACATGGCTAAGTCCATTCGGGCATCCAGAGTAAGAAATAGACGATATATTTTTCTACACAATTACAAGAAGTCACTCTCAGTGAGTTTAGAGTAGAAATCATTAATCGAAAATGAAATCACTAATTTATAGTTAGTAAGCTAACAGACTGTTTGTCCACACTCTATGACCAATCATATTTTCATTTCACTACAACACATCATTGACATTCAAGAAGTGAGAAATAGGTGGTTAAAGCATTTCGAAGAACTCTTGAAAGATATGGGAACCTTTACAAACCTTATTAGCGTCACTGATAAACAAGGTGATCTGATGCCGATGTAAAGACATGGATTAGCAAAGCAAAGACACGACTTATACAGTCAAAGCATACAAACCAACATTAAAGTCACAATTTTCACTACAAATGTCAAGACAGTTCTACTGTATGGGGAAGAAAAAACTTGGACCACCACCAAAGGCATCATCCGCAAGATACAGTTGTTTACTAACTGCAGTCTGCGCAAGATACTGAAGATGCGTTGGCCAGACACCATCAACAACAATCTACTACGAGAGAGAACAAACCAGGCTGCATCAGAGGAAGAAATTAGGAAGAAGAGGTGGAAGCGGATATGATCAGCATTGCGGAAAGCACCCAACTGCATCACATGACAAGCCCTCACTTGGAATCGTCAAAGACGAAGGAAAAGAGGAAGGCCAAGGAACACATTTCGCCGAAAAATAGACATGAGGAAATCCAACAACAATCGGGTAGAACTGAAAAGGTGTGGAGGATACCATTATTTGGAGAATGCTGGTCGAGTGGCCTATGCTCCATTACGAATAACAGTCATAAGTTTTCAGTTATTATCTTGCTACAGATCCTCATAATGTACATTTTTCCAAATAGATTTTTTCTCATTTGCCTTCTGTATCTGCCAAACTATCATTTCCATAACATTTTAAAGATAAAACTTTTTAATTGATAGCTTAAAGTTTAAAATACTTGACTTTTAATCATTCAGTTGTAATTTTAAACTTGATACTACCTATTCCATCTTAAGCTGTTGAATAGTACCACTAGTGTTCAAATCAAATGTATGTACTCCAATCCGAGTTCATTGAGCTAATATTTAGTCACAAAACTGCATTGTTTCCATAACCAATTTTTACATGCTCATTGTTATAATTAGCTGTCTGTTATGCATGAACGTCAACATGTCATTTGATATACTTGAACTATTACGAGTTTACTTTAGATGGAAAACGAGAGCGAGGATCGAGGATCCGGTGACACGACATGCTACTCTAATCCGAGTTTCCCAACCCTCATTGAGTAAAACAAGAAGACTTGATATGAAGTAGAACCTGTATTCTACAAGCATCCAGAAAGTACGAGGTCCGAGTCCAGAAGAGAATCGGGATCCCGAACTAGGGATCTGGGTCCGGGTTCATGTCATAAAACGTTACAGATAATGAGTATTTATACAGTTAGGTCGAAAAGGAACTAACATTGACAGTTAGGACGACCATAGTATTGGACAGTAGGAATTAACCAGTAGGAATTGACCAATAGAACTAGACTTACAAATAATTCTCTTAGGATATTGGATGAATATTCTAACACTGTCAAACATATCATGTTTAAACTTTTGCTGTATATGCAAACAAAATGTTAATTTTTCTGCATCACCATTGTTGGGGACGTTAGATCCCCAGAACTTGCTTGAAAAATGCCTTATTTTGGATTTCACGTTTGCGAGCATGGGCTGATCAGTTGACCTTGAAATTTCGATTTCCACCAGGAAAATCCTTGGTTGTGATTGGCTGCTGTATATTTTAGTGTGCCATTATCTTAACTGTCTCAAGGACGTTTCTATGACGTATAAATAAACGAGAGTTGTGTGCTCGAGTGCATGGCGCTTGCTGGGTGTTTGTAGAATATACTTTCTACGCTACATCAAAACTTTTCATTGGTTAGCAGATCAGGGTAGCCTACCCAGACAGACAGACAGACAGATACAACGCAGTGGTATTCGATTAGAGAGCTTGTATAAGGTTAATGTACTTCTTTGGTACACCTTTCAATGACAGACACTGCCACAGAACCTCACCATCCAATGAGTCAAATGCCGCTTTTAGGTCCAGGAACACAACTATTGTCGGATGCCTAAATGTGTGTCTGTGTCGCAGGACCTGTTGTAGTGTGAAGATGTGGTCTATACAGCCACGTTCTGGTCTGAAACCAGCCTGGTTTTCTCTAGTCTACTCTTCACGTGCTCTATTTAGGCGTCTAAGCATACCTAGACTCTAGTTCATTGTCTCGTTCTAGTTTATCGACTAAGGTGGTGAACCCGTAATAGTTTCAAGCATACTTAATGACGAACTTAACAACCATTGTTTGTTTGTATTCTCTCTTATCAAGTTTAACAAACGTAACAACAATACAATTCGAACTGTATATGATGTTGGTGATTGGCTTGTAGATCGATCTGGTCAAATCTACATTCCATATGCACAAATCACACCAAAACCTCAAAGAACTTTACTGAATAATTTTGAATATTCTACGCTAGGAAGAAGAAATGATCTGGTGAAAAATCCTTCACCATTGAATACAATTAATGAAACATTTCAACAACAAAATCAACCACAACAATCACAATTAACAGCTGTATATCCAATACAAATTGAAAATACAAACCAAATGATCAATAACAGTAATAATAATAATCACAATCAAACTATCAATTCTTCTCCTCTAAACTATTCATCTGCTTCAATCAATAAACAAACATCTGTACCACCATTGTTAACTAATCAACTTTTATTAAAACAACAACAACAACAAAATAATATTCCAGCTGCAGTGAATGAATTAGATCATGCTATTGAACAAAATGTAAGTGTGTTGTATTGTAGTGCTTGCCGGTATACATTTGAGTTTGTTCATATTGAATTTTGGTTAAGCTCTTTTGATTAACGGAGTTGTTGTGAAGATTGTTAAGTTTTATTTGA